GACTCCGGCTCAGTGTGGACTTCGGAACAACATCGATTTAAGCGGTGTTTCCACGATCCTCAAGTCCTTCCGATCAGATGTCTTGTTGCCCGATGTAGTTTATTGTCATATCAAAGAATTTAACTTTAATTGTATGGCTATAAAACCCGTTTCGTATTTGTGTATTCAGAATGTTGGATCAACGATACTTGGAACTGAAAAAGAGTAAAACTTTTATGTTAGTATGTACTGTTTATTTCCCATCGTGTTTGTACAACCTTAAAATCAGAAATTAATTGTTGGGTTATTGGGGACACAGAAAACGTGGCCAGCTGACATTTGGCCAGCGGACATTTGGAGACGGGCATTTGGCCAAACGGACATTTAACTGATGGGCATTTGACAGCAAAAGTACAAGTAAAAATAGTAAGAAACAATAATTTAAGTATTTTAATTACCATTTTATAAGATAGAATAGGACTAATAATTACAACTGAATTTCTAGTGAGTAAATTCCTAAATCTAAATTTAAAGTTAACTCTTTTCGTTTGTCAATATTTTTCTATAGAAATTAGTATTTTGAAAAATAATTGAGTGAATTGGAGTAAAAAGTAGAACCTAATTATTTAAATTCCTATTTAACAGTATGATAAAAGCTAGTTCATCCCTTTAAGATAATGATCATTAAAAGCGAAATTGAATGGTCTTTCATATCGTAAAAGTTTAAGATATTTGCTGTAGTAAAATGTGCTTATTCTCAAAATACTTATCAACTTACAGTAATAATTAAGGTAAAATATAATATATACAGAAAAGCACATTACGATAGAGTGTGAGATGCATGTAAGTACGCCACTACATTTTCGTTTCTTCGGTTGATTGTCCGTCGGCCAAATGTCCGAGGACCGACAAAAAATAGCTCGATGAAAAAGCCAGTGAGCTCAAAACGTTAAAATATCCCTATGATATCAAAATATATCAAATTCTAAAGACGGTATGCAAGCGTCACTAACAGAGTCCACAAAAGGCAAGTAAAATATAACAGACATTTATATAAAAAAACATTTTAACCCTTACAAATTGGACATTAACCACGAAACTACGTAGTCGAGGGAGGAATAAAAATAATTCCTAAATGGATATTAATTTACAGTAAGCAAATTTAAAAGAACAATCTAACCCTATATATATATATATATATATATATATATATATATATATATATATATATATAATATAGTTTTAAGGTGTGCTATAATTATGGGATAAAGTGATCAATATCAGAGATAGAGCGTATGTAAATATAAATGTAAAAAGTGAACATTGAATTCAACACTCAGAGGCGACATGCTGTTTCATGCTGGACGCAATCATCAGGGCGCCGATTGCTTCTATCATGAAAGAGCCTGTCGCTTCTGAGTGTTGACTTCAATGTTCAGCTTTATATATATATTTGCACTTTATTATATACTAAATATTGAACACTTTTAAAAACTCCGTCTTTAAAAATTTAATCATATATATATATATATATATACATATATATATATATATGTGTGTGAGTGTGTGTGTATGTGTCTGTATATATATATATATATATATATATATATATATATATATATATATATATATATATATGAAGAAATATAATTTTAATGTGTGGCATATTTATGGGATAAAGTGCGCAATATCAGAGATAGAGCCTATGTAAATATAAATATAAAAGTGACCATTGAAGTCAACACTCAGAGGCGACAGGTTGTTTTATGCTGGACGAAATTGTCAGGCCGATGATTGCGTCCACAATGAAACAGCCTGTCGCCTCTGAGTGTTAATTTCAATGTTCACATTTACATATATATATACGAGTTTTGATTTTAAAAAAAACTTACTGTGATTGGAGACATTAAAATAAAACTACATGACATATCACTTCGGTAGTTAATCTCCTACGAAGTCAATCACTTCATTTAGCGTCGTTTCCATTGATGAAAGTATTTCTAGAACTCGTTTTGGGGATATAGGTCACCTTGCGTCGTTGCATTTTCTTGGATTTCCTCGATATCTTCAAATCTTGTTCCTTTCAAGTGGGATTTGATTTTTGAAGGGAGGAAATTGGTAATGGGTGTAATCTGGGGAATATGGTCGTTGGCGGACCCGGGGAATGTTGTCTCTTACCCAAAACTGATCCAAAAGTGATGGTCACTGATGGAACCTCTGTGGTGTGCTAAGACGACCACAAGTTACAAACTTTAATTTTAAGCACTGCTATAAACGACTGAAGTCAGTGAGGTCGTTATAACTTGCGCCATATTGTTAAAGGTATATGAAAGTTAACGATAATGTATACATCGTGAATCTACTTTATCTCCAACTAACAGCATGGCCCGACGTTGCCGTGCTTGATTCAAAAATCGTACGACTCATACAGCAATCGCTATCACTTGACTTAAAATATTTTTGCCCATTCTTGCCTTTAAAGGAGTGCCCTTGCCGTGATGATGTTGGTACATGCCTTACTTCTTGCCTATCTCACACTGCGAATTTTTTCTAAGCTCTATACTAAACATTAAATCTGTTACGAAAAAAGAACTAAACAAAATGAACCCAAAACGATCAACTTTAAAAAGGACTCGTAACTGGAAAAACCGAATGAAAAAGAATGTTAACAACAAATACTTTTTCACACCCAACCCAGTTCTGCGGAATCAGAATCAACGTTGAGTTTAAACAAGCGACTGAGCTAACTGGAGTAAAGTGCCATGCAGATTTAAATTTTTCCCACTTATGACGAATGCAGTTATCGATTTTTTGCATGCTAGCATGCTAGTTAACATTCGTGTCAGTCAGCTGTTGGCTCTCACGCTGGACAATAGAATCTTCCTGCCTATTCGTGGCAGCCAGATACTGGAACTCACTCTGGCCAGTAAAAAATGCCCGCAAACTACATGAAAACTACCGTAGAAGCATGAAAAAATCGAATATTTCCACTATCGATGGGAATTGGGAAATGCAACGTCGGTCTTGGCCTTTCCACTAACTTGGAGTATGTGCATGTAAACTTTGGTGCAAATCCGTCGAAAATTTAGGCCGTGCATTCGTTACACACACACACACACACACACACACACACACACACACACACACACACACACACACACACACACACACACATACACACACATCCTCCCTTTTATAGATAGAGATACTGTAGTTGTGATAGTTTTTAATCAAACATCGTATATACATTTATGCTTTTTTTGTTTGCAGGTCAAATATCGGGCTATTCCTTTCGTTAACAAGAATAAATAATGTACCTAATAACATTTTACTTTAATATAATTGTAACTCAGCATATTCTAGATAACTTAATAGAAAACTTTACATTTTGGTAAGTTTGTGAAGATTCATCCCGCTTTTAGCAGAATTATTATTATAAACATAATATACAAAGCAACATCGACATCATCATTATCAGCGTTATCATACTCATCATCATCATAAGCAGTAGTAAATAACATTTATCTCTCAATTGTGTTTCGCCTCAGAAAGAGCGCAACTTAGTTTTGTCTCTGTCGCCAGACACGTCGCAAGTGAATATATTTTTGAGAGGTGTCCGGTCTCGGTAATGTGATGCCAGCAACAGTGCTTTCGTCATTGTACTAAAAAGAGATGGGGGTCGGTATTAATACCGATGCCAGCGCAACCGACGGTGTACGGTTTGGGGATATTCTGGGACCTGACCCGGATGCACGCGCTCGCTTTCCCCTCTATAAACTGCCCTTGTGTCACATCCTGTCAATGTGAACTAAATAAAATCTCTATCATTGGATTATATTTGACCTGATATCATGGTTGAAATTTCTATTACCCATAATGTGGAAAGAGAGCTTGGGAAATTTAATACACAGAGGACAGAGGGAAAGCAAGATGGGAAGAGGAAAACAACGTATAATCTAGCTACCGAGCTTCAGTAAATGTATGACAGAACAGGCTTTAGGAGTGATGACAAAATGACAAGATTTATTAAGAGCGACAAATGAAGGGAAATTGTGGAGGGCCATGATCGCCAACGTACCGAATGGAAAAGAGAAATAGAAGAAGATCATCAAATGCCACATTCTTTGTCCTGCTACACACACTTGTTTAATTTTTCGTTGATTAATAACGACACCCTTACGTATTATTTTCTTTAATAAATTTTCATTTTTAAAGATGATCATTCAAATACAGCTTTAAAAACTTCCTGTTTTTTCTTTTTTGTTTTTTTGTTCTCACTCAAATTTCTCCTACATTACCATCAGCCTTTGTCTGAATCCCAATTAAGATTTGAATTTATGTCGTTTCAATTTCCTTTTGCAACTTATTTTTCTTCTTGTCGCTTCCTAAAAACTCTTACTTTCTCTCAAATCACTGCCTTCTTTAACATTCTCCAAACATTCAGTTACCGATTCACCGCCTACATTTTAACGCTCCTTAATCTTTCTTCCATTTCACTGACTTCTTTACTTTAGGGTTTTCTACGAATTATATCTAACATTTTCCCCCAATTATACATTAATTAATGCCTTTCTTTATGGACCAAAACAGAGTTATTTATTGATTCGTGTCCTTCGTATTTCTTTTCTTTCTGTCATTTGCTACTTGATAAATTTCGTTAAATTATTCTAAAGATTTAATGAGATTTGCTTGGAGCGGTAGGAAAAGGTTTGTTCTTTCGATTTATTTATATTTTTTTTATTACTTCCTTTTTTCAGCACATCTAATTTTATTTTCATTGTGTTTTCATTTTGATTGTATTTCAGAGTATCGTTCGTTAATTCTCAAATAGATGCGTCCCTGATTCATCATTTGATAATCTGTTTCCTTTCTCTTTTTTCCTATATCTTCTTAAATAAACATTTGTTAGTTGACGTCTTTCATTATACCATCCCTTATGTCCCATTGGCTTTCTAAATATTTCGTTCTGTTTTTTTTTTACCTTTGTAAACAAAGATATATAAAAAAAATATAAAGGGAAGATGAAGCATATCTATCTATCTATCTATCTATCTATCTATCTATCTATCTATGTCTGAAAATTGTAATTTTTTATTGTTCAAAACATACATATATATTTTTTCCAGTTTGTTGGAAATTCTTCTCTGTAGTTCCTGTTTCTGAGAACTCTGGGTAATCTTCTGTCACCTCTAGATATCGCCCTATTAGTCTTCTTCCGTTTTTGGCAACCTTCTCCAGGCTTTAATCAATGCTGAAGTGGTTAAATAACTTACCTCTCACCATTAACTCTCTAAATAATATGGCTTCTTATGCTCTACTTTTGTATCGAGCACTAGTTTTTAAAAAAAATAACATAAATACTAAAGAACTTTGTATTATTTACCTAACGAGTTCTTTCCTATTTTCTATATATTTTCACACACACACACACACACACACACATATATATATATATATATATATATATATATATATAGTCGACACTCTCCCGTCGAATCCGATGTACGAGAGTCAAGCAGATCAGTCCCCAGGAAACCGACAACAGCACATGAGATTCGATTATAGTGGTGAAGGTTTCGTGCAGGACCATCCCACACTTTTTGAAGCGCTGAATACAGAGACCTGATGCATTACGTGCCACAGGGTCTCCAAACGACCCTCCGCAGGGTTTGAATTCAGAGTTGTCCTTCTCCTAGACCAGTTGCCATCCAAGGCTATAGAACCCAGTCTGTCCTGCTATTTACCCATAGCTGGAGGGAGAAGAAGAGGATTCACACCTTTCCCCAAGGTATTAGAATGTAATGGATTCAACTGAAATTCGAACTCGGCTCTCCGATTCCTCAAACCAAGCCGCTATCCATTACTCCACCGCGCCTTGGCGTGATGTAATGGCTAGCAAGCTTGTCTCGCTATATCATTTACGACTGACAAGTAATTTCGATCCTCACTAGGTGCTCCATACTTTCAGTCTTGTGCCACATCTAAGCTACGCTTAGAAAATAATTATATATATATATATATATATATATATATATATATATATATATATATGTGTGTGTGTGTGTGTGTGTGTGTGTGTGTGTGTGTGTGTAGATATAAAAGACAATGAGAATAATGTCTTATTAGCCAACGCGTTTCGTCTAATGTGGACTTTTTCAAGGCATAAACGAAATTAATTTATTAAAACAAAGTAACAAAACAAAATGTCGTTTACAACTAGAAGAATTCAGAAAACGCTATTTATTCCTATTGTCAACTGAAAGTTACGTCAAGTACTATCACGTCTAGAAATATTGTTTTACTGATGTGTTGACGGATTCAAACATTTTCAGTTGATTTCTTGTTATAATCGTGTACGTTTGCTTGCGGGTACGTGATAGTACTTGACGTAAATCCTCCCTTTGATATGCAGGTTATAACCAATATAGGGAAAGAGTATTTCTGCTTATTAAGTAAGCACTTACCGAGGTCTTCGGAACTCTCGAGGGTATTTATTAAAAAAATATAAAGCTGAGTTACAGTTGTACAGACATGTTGGAAATAATCATTAAAAGACACAACGTTACAATCTGGTGTGGTATTAAAAGAAGGGGAGAAGAATGTGAAGATAAAAATCTATGTAACTGCAAAGAAAATAAAACAATTGCCCGTTGGATGGTGAATGTTGCACGGAAAGCATAGTACATTACGCAGAGTAAGTAAGTAATGAGAAAAGTTGGTTGTACAGAAGGCTATTTCAAAATACGATGGTAATTCATAATTCTTCATTTAGGACACAAAGACATAGACACTATTGTTGGCTGATTGGATTTTGGCAGTCGAAGCAAAAGTGGGAGATTCTAAAAAATATCAAGCCAGGCTGAACACGTGGCATTTGTTACAAACTATGCCAAGAAGAAAAGCTAAAGTTATCCACATACCATAATTGTTCTGACGGAAATTATATCAAAATGTAGACACATACCGTATGAAACCGGATAAAGGCAATTAATACAATTTCGTTTTTCAACCCCCTCCTCTCCGGCACACCTCCGTTATATATAGGATAGCTAGTGTTCGCCAAAGAACCGTCCAGTAAGCCACATAATGAGATCATGAGATCGAAACCCGTGTTGGAAAGCGACTGTTCTATATTACCATATTCATTGTGTAGCTCTGTTAGGCCCCCACTTTTTTATTGGATGTCCAAGATTGAACACTTTTATTTGTGCTTTTTAAGCGTGGCTTCCTAACAGTCTATATTTGCAAATATTTATTTATTTACATACCTTTTATTATATCTCTTAGGAATGGCCGATTTGAAGCTTTCTTTTAAGAAGCTTAATATATATATATATATATATATATATATATATATATATATATATATATAATTGTCACTCTTATCTGAGGATGTCTCTCTGCTAAGGCAGCTATCTACTCCCTGTTACAGATGCCTACTCAGGCGTATTTTGGTTTGTTCAAATGCCTGCATGGGATTTATTCTGAAACGACGCTGTGCGATCCTTAGTTACAATTTATGGGGGAGAACACATAATCTGGCGTAATGAACGGAGTGAACACATCCTTCAAACTCAATCACAAAACGTGTGATTTCTTGACAACGATCAACGGCTCTCTAATAGTTCCGTCTAAACAATTTCACGGACACGTTTCGGATGAATCCGTGGTGTCGTCTTCAGGCCCTTTCTAAAGGTACCACATTTTAGGATCACCTCCTTCAGACCGATAACATGAAGAAATCAACATCCTGACAAAACAAACATTCATAAAACAAACGTTCTAATCACTTGGACACCGGCATATATATATATATAGATAGATAGATAGATAGATAGATAGATAGATAGATAGATAGGTATATGTATATATATATTGTTACGTTAACCCCATATTTGTAACCTCACCTCAGATTTTAAAAGTATATTTCCAGTACCTTGTGTATTTGCGACGAAACATATGAATCTTACTTTATTTTTTGAATATGCAGATTGTGAGATATATATTGTTTTTATACCCAGATGAGTCAGGGCCAGTTCTCGGAAAAGAACCATCCATTCCTACCCCCGCCCATTTCCTACCTGGCCTCTGATGCGTAGGCCAAACAAACGCTGTTTGACAGATAGGTGCGAATGATATTAACCAAGTCCATAATCGTAGGCCCAACGAACGCTGTTTGACAAATAAGTGCGAATGACATTAACAAGGTCCGTGAATGAAGCATACCTTTTTGGGGGGCCAACACGTCACTCAACATATAGCAGTTTTTCGTTTCGCACGTATTGAGGTAACAACAACCTCACATAGTTGCTGGCTATCGGAGCAGTCGGACATCACCAAAACCAGTCTTTGCTATATGCCATTAGAAGAAGCAGTTGTCACCAAAACCAGACTTCGTTGTTTGATGCCAGAAGAATTAGATGCCACCAAAAACCAAAGGACCGACGCGAGAATCTAGAACAACATCGTCAACCCAAGTCGGCTACACTCCCGTGATTTTTCTGTGTATTCTTCTCGCTATCAACCTGGATTGGACGTCGTCAGTCAAAAATTCATATCAGAACATTGTCAATCCCATCCTTTACTTTCAGAGAAGTGTATAAATATCTTGAACAAACTGTACCCCGATAATAGTCAATCGAAGTCGATTCCAACCTTATGTAAGTTTCTGCATGTTTTTCCATATCTTATAATCTGCTATCTCCGTATTCATATGTATTTCGCCGCATTAGTATCTGTTTAACTGGTAACTTATCTCCCCATCCCTTGTATTATTTAGTTTTCTTTTTCTTTTTCTTACATTCACCCTTTGTGTATTCTATAAATAAAATCTTTGTATTATATATTCTCGTGTTGTCTTCTGTTGTTCTGTGTCTGCGAATTGTTCATTTTCTCTCTGCGTTTACCGACGTCCGGAATTTCCCCCCCCCCACGTTGTTTTCTTTATTTTTATATTGAACCTTACGATCTCTTACTTATTTTCTTTTAATTTCTCGTTGCGTCCCGGCTATCGTAGTCCCAACGAAACCCTGGGCGTAACAATATATATATATATATATATATATATATATATATATATATATATATATATATATATATATATGTGTGTGTGTGTGTGTGTGTGTGTGTGTGTGTGGATGTGCATGAGCACAGGCTTCCAGAACGTGCTGTATGGACAACAACCAAACTCCAAGATTTCAGTTGGACGTACACTCTTACGCTACAAACACCAATTGAAAGACAACTTGAAACGTTTGAAGTTTGATCTGAATACCTGTGAAGCTCAAGCATCAGATCAAAAGGAGAAGACTCGTTACATGATTCTGACCATAGCTAAAAGTAGGTCCCATTTAAGTATACATGGAGACCTACCAAAGTCTCTCCGCACCATAGCCGTTGATAATACAAATATAATAGCCTCATCCACATGTAAAAATAATGACAGTATTATTAATCAAAAAGAAAAAGCTAACACTCAATAACATCAATTATGAACACGTCCATAAAAACGGTCCTTGATAATGGCTAAAAGAATAGTCGAAAGCTCTCATATATTCAGAACTTTTGAAAAGGTTTTTCACACTTTGTGACCAAGAAAAAAAAGCATTTGTATGAATACAAGATAAATTCAATGAGAAGCTTAGTCGCAGTATCTTGTCAGTTGCCTTTAAAGAAACGTGTATATATCAGGTCATCCCATAAGTTCTGTCCGAATTTTAACTTTTTGTTAAAATGAACGAAGTTTAAAACTACTTTATAACTAGAAACATTCACTCAGTTTATGGGGGAATGTGTGATTGAAAGAACTTGCAGAAGATTGTTTGCAAGATTCAGAGGTGGAGATTTCACCCTTGAAGATGAAGATCGAACCGGACATCCAGTTGAGTTTGATGAAAAGCTTCTTGAAGCAGCCCTTGAAGAAAATCCTGCTTTATCAGTTGAGGAATTGGCAGTGGTTCTCAGTTCAAACCATACAACTGTTCATCGTCATCTTCAACAACTTGGAAAAGTTCCTAAACTTGGAAAATGGGTGCCTCAAGAATTGTCTGAAAACAACCTCAAATCCCGAGTT